TGCTGGCAGGGTTGTGGAGTGCCAATGTCGCTTCTCAGTCCTAGCTTGCCTTGGAGTCAAGTAAAAGTTGCGGAAACTCAGGACTGATTTTCTTCTGCCAGACTAATGTATTAATTTTGCTAGAAACTCTGCCTCTGAAGAAAACTGGGATACATACTTTAGAGAGGAAAATGGCTAAGAAATTCACCAAACCACCAGCAATTACTTCTGAAGCACAGTGGAAAGCTGGGTAGCACCTGGATGGAGAAGAAAGTGGAAAAGTGAGCAAACTATGCCATCTTCAAGAAAGGATAAAAGGTGGTAAAAAAAGCAACCAACCTTCTGGTATAGGAAATCCTGGTCTATTCAGAATAATCTAAGATTGTCGAGGGAGACAGCCAATAAAACTCTTCAAAAGAACAGCTTCCTAAGCAATTTAGGAAACACCTTTTTTCACAGACGTCCCCCCCCCCGAAATAAATCCTGTCTAATAACTGGACTGAACAAAATCGCTGGCGTAGTTTCCAGCTGAGGGGGAATGACTCAATGCAACCTACTGGGAGGACACCTCTAAATTATGATTATTTGAAAAAAAAAAAAAAGTGAATTTGTTCCATTTTCCTGGCCAAGTACTAACACAGGTAGCTGCATTCCTCCAACTTTAAACATATTTGCAGTTGTTTGACTGGTGTGCTCCTTCCCACTTTTCTTCATCTGTTGTGTAGTAATGTTGCTAACCATTAGACAGCTAGTACTTGCTGCACTCGTAACTTAAGCAAAATAACATTTCAGAGTTGTTGTTAAGGATGCAGCTCTGTAAAAAGATTTATGTTTGCAAAAAAGTTGTTATTTACAAATAGCTGATATCATTTAAGGGAGTTTTATCATAAATATTTATAGCAATGCTATGTCTGAATTCAATCGGAAGGTAGAAATCAGTTAGAAAGATTTTTATTTAAAATACCAACCAACAGTACAGGACATGACTTCATCCTGTCCAGTGTGTACAATATTTTGAACAAAAGACCACATTCCACCCCTTCAGATCAGAGGCCCAAAGACACTCCTATTTTAAGCTGGAACATGAGAATAAGGAGTTTTCCATTGAAGCAGAAGCTTGCCAAGGTCTCCACATCCCTACAGCAAGACTCCTCCACCAAGCAGGAAGCACAGCAACCTCTCTGGCTGAACAATTATTCTGAACCTCAGGATAAGTTTTAAGAAAGGATGTTTCATCACATTCAAAACAGGCACAACCCCTCAAGAAGAGCTGAATGAAGAAAAGTTTCAATAAGCCTATCACAGGTGATTTAGATGGCCAATGAGTAACTTGCCACAGAAGCTGAATCTTTAGGTCTAACAAAACAAAGCTCATGAGTTTTGCTAAAATGTTTCAATACGAGAACTGCTCAAGTTACAAGAGACTAAGACATACACTTTCCTACCACAGGATCTTCTGATCGCATTGAGCAACCACTGAGGGCAATTGACATTAAGTAATTAATTTTGTAACTGAAATGTTGCAAGTTTACGGACACCCTTCCTCAAGTTACAAGAGCCAGAAGCAAGAAAGCTGACGAAAACACATACGACATTGCTTTGTGGTAATTCTAGCTATCGCTTTGTGCAAAGGTCCCAGATAAAAAGTTTGTCATCTGTAGCTGCTTGGGAAAAGAGTTTTCAAGAGCATTGCAGTCAGATAAACACAAAATCTCAAATATGGAATTTACAAATTGATTCAGGGCAAGTATAGTAACTCATGCATAAAATGTAATTCTACAGTCCACACATAAAAACTTACAGATAAATAACTGATTTAAATGTACATAACCTTTGTTTTAACTAAGAGGAAATTCCATAAGCAGTAGTAAACCAGTGTCAAATGTAAAAGAAAATCATACAAATTAAAAGAAAAGCAAGGAGAACTCTCCATAAACCCTACACAAAGATAGAAGACCAAGGTAGCAGTATATTTAGCAAGACCATCTTCAGGACTTCTGGACTGCAACATCAAATGCTGGTTAAATCAGCAACCCAAAATGAGAATGGCATTTTCCTCAAAACCCTACATTAACCAAACCTTTTAGAAGCTAGTCATCCTCTCAGCTGTGGATTACACAGCTGTGACTAACAACCTTTGAAAATGAACCAAAGTATTTTCATTTTACCTCTAACACACCTTATAATTTGCTCTCACTATTGCTAAAGCACTTGAGACCACAGGATAGCACTCAGTTTTACTTAATACCACTAAAATGTAGAGTTTAAACTGTTAGAGTCATTATAAATAGAAACACTAGTACATTTCCTCAAGTCTTGAATCCTTCAATGAACATCCAACACCCTTCTAAAAGAGCGCAGTGATTTGTTTCAACAGAAGAGATATGATGATGTTGTATGCCTTAGAGCGTCCCATTGCCAAACCCTACACAGTACTAGATGATAGCAAATTAGGCACTGACCAACTGTGGCATCTACAACACTACTGTTACATCCCACACACAATGCAGCTTTTCTTATACTCTAAGACCTCTCTCCTATACTTTCACACAGAGTTGAGCTAGTGCTATTTGCTTAGCATGCCTGCCTCAGCATGGGAAAGGGTCAGAAATGAGTCACAAGTGGTCATTTCCACCAGCTGATAGTGCTCCTCCACCCAGAAAGAAAAAGAGCATAATCGCTCTGCATTAGAAATCAGTGGGAAGGTTTTGGTGTAAGAGGAAAGAAAGAGGGGAAGAGAGGCTAATGCACTGGAGCTGTAAGGAGCAGCCTGTGAACCCAGCACCGTCCTATGCTGCAAGCTTCATTATGAGATGAAATTTCTTAGTAACAGATCCTAAGTTCTTCAGTGAACTTGGATCAGCTGAGAAACAGCAGAGTTGGGAGACAAGATAGACCCTGTTCCAGCCACAGCTCTTTCTCTTCATCAGCTCATCTAGAAGATTTAAATGATAATGATATGAAAAGAGAAATAAAATCAGTATGATAAAAGATTCAAATGGCATCGGCCATTGTTATCCAGAGACTGCACTATGCATTTGTAAACTCTCCCCATCCAGCTTTCATCAGAATTACTCTACATTCAGAGGCAGAGTGAGAACACCAATTATTCAAAAAACCAAGCTCATCTAGAAGATTTAAATGATAATGATATGAAAAGAGAAATAAAATCAGTATGATAAAAGATTCCCCCCCCCAAGTCCAAACCAACAAAACTTACCTGCTTCTGGATCTGGAGGAATCCTCCACATATACAAATTGAAGTCATCAGAGCCCGAAAGGATGTACTGTTAGGAACAAAAATAAAAGCAGTTTACCACAAAGTATCACCTGAATTACGTTACTTTATTCTTGATCTAGTTTCTCTAAACCAAAAACGAGTAAAAAAAGATAATTTGTATCATTCTTTGCACCTCGCTGATCAACTTATCCTTAAATGGCAGTGAGGTAACAGCACAAAAATGTTGCATTTGTATAAACACACCAAAATTCAAAAGCACTCTTCATGTATCTAGTGCCTACTACCCAAAGTGTATGTTTTCTTTGCTAAATAAGGCTATGGATTTTGGTTGGCTTTAATACAAGCATGTCTAGATCAAACTCTCGTATCTTGCAGCCTGCAACTCTGGTCTTTTTTTAATGTCAAAGTCTTTTATACTTTTTTCTCATCTCCTGAACTACCAAGGCAAACTCTATCAAACACATACCTAAGAAGAGAGTTAGCATGTCCATTACACACAGGCACAACATGTCTGGCTCATCAGTCTACTAAGACCATCAAAAGTCACTCACGGAAGGTAATCTTGAACACTGAACAAAACCAAAGCTAAACATTCACTGTCAGCAAGTCTCAAGCAGTTTAAAAAACCACATTTATCATGCTGTTCTTTTTTTTCCTGGTTATAGTTACTCTGAAGAGATGGAAGGCTGCCCTCTTCAACAGTGCATGAATGATAAGCAATCTCTATTGTACAGAAGTTTAGGCAATATGCAATTTGAAGTAGCTTAATACTACAAACATGCACTGGAATGACAGGTGACATCTGACATGGTAAAAAGCTTATGCCTCTCAGTTACGAGAGGCCACAAACTGTGCCTTGTCTCCAAACATCTCTTCTCCAATAAACTGACTGTACTCCCCGTCATTTATTTCACTCCCAAATTAGAGGTAAGATGACACGTAGTGGAATCAAGGGCAGATTCCAGTTCCAGCAATACTGGTGCAGACAGTGTAAATCTCTAGCCCTCAACTGACCAAAGGCTTCTGCTTAATAAATACAGTAAAGAAGTTGGGTTTTTAATTTTATTATTATTATCAGGGTAGAGGGAAAGGAGAAAAAGAAAGAAATGGAGTAAGTTTGTCCCTTTTCTAACCTTTGATAGGAGACAAATTCTGTTTTGTTTGGCTCAAATATAACTGGTTTCTGTCTTTCATTCTCCAGGGATAGATAAACTCATGAGGCAAAGTAACATCAACCAGTGAGGGGACAAGTCCTGGAATAACACAGGACTGAGAAGCAAATAAACAAGAAATATACACTAACATGGAGAAAACTGCTATAAATTTGCATTTATTCTGTTTGCCATGCTAATTATGTTAGTGCAGTGTTTGGATGTTTCCAGCCACAAAAATGCAGTAACCAACCACTAAAATCCCTTCTCTAGTTTCCTACTATGACAATCCAACCATTCTTTTTTCTCTTATTTTTAAGGATGTAGGATGTGAGTAAGCATTTATGAATGCAATTCTGCCCATTTTCTGACAGATAAGAAGCACTGATCAAACAAAAGTTCTTTTAAAAACTTGTGCACACTAGTTCTGCATCACTCACAGACCCATCCTTTCTGAGCCAGAAAGTTATTTCTACAAGCCAACATGTTCAAGCATTTAGGCAGCCTACCTCTGCCAAACTGACCTAACAGTGCCAGGAATATGTGCTTCCCTTTCATTTGACGGCTCATAAATGTTAGCCCACAGCAGGCTGAGCCACTGTGCCAAAACTACACAGATTAGTGCTCCAGGCAATCTGAAAGAAAGCACCTCTACTACATTTTGTTATGGAAGAAATGCTACGTGGAAAAAAAGAAGTCTTGTTTAAAGTTAAAGATGTTGCCAACTGTTAGTATTTATCACCAAATTGTGTCGTTGAAGCAGCAACTGGTTTGCCTAGGACATGTGGGGAAAAATGGAGACTTTAAAACACCTAGAAAGCCCAGTAGCTTGAATTTATGACTATAATATCCCCCCCCCTTTTTTTTTTTTAAATGAAACAAGTTCTAACAACTCCTCAATATCAGAGTCATTTAGCACTTCATCATAAATCAAATAAATCTACCAGCAACGACAGGTCCCAAAGTGGCAGATTTCAGATATCCTGCACCAGGCACACAACACAGAGAAAATACGTTATGTATGTGTCTGAAGTGTCTGTGAGACCCTTCAAATCAGTTTCCAAACTGATTTGCAGAGGAATACACTGTGTATCCCGTAAGACTCAATGGTCAGTTCTCTAGGAAATCTGGCATTAGCATTGCCCACCAAACAAGAACACACTACCTGCAAAGACCACTTACCCAAGTATACTCCATCTTGCTTTGGAGAGAGAAAAAGTTAAGAGTGCCCTTGCAGAGATATGAACTAATGGCAATTTGACTGCACTGTTAAGAGGGTAACCAAAAGGACAAGACAAGTGATTCTTCCCCTTACATAGCACTTTTGAGGTCAAACCTGGAGTATTGTGTCTGCTTTGGGTCCCCCAATACAAGACCGACAGTAATGAATCGGACAGAGAGTGGAGGAGGGCCACTGGGGCTGAAGGCACATGATCTGCAAGGAAAAGCTAAGAGAACTGGCCTTATTTAGCCAGAAGAAGAGAAAGTGAAGGGACAGAGTGGACCTCAACAGTCTCCCACTGTCTGAAGGCACACAGAGCAGCTGGGGATGGACTCTTCTTCTCAAGAGGCAGGCAGTGAACACTCAGGAAGCAACAGTCACAAGTCATAGCATGGGAAATTCCAGCTGAGCACAAAGGAACAGCATGTTCAGGAGGAGTGTAACAAGCACTGCAACTCAGCCCCAGAAAGACAGAGGAATCTCCACCCTGGCAAATCTGAAGTTTACGTGGACAATTCCCTGAGCAATCTGATCTGACTTTGAAAATGCTCAGCTCTGAGAAGCAGCTTAAGTCAGATGACCTCCAGACCTCTCTACTGATTCATTTTTTTCCAAAGATTACCAAAGTAAAAAGGGAAAGAATTGTCTTGGTGGATTGGGGTTGCTTTTTAGGTTCAGCGACAGGAAGGGGGGAGGGGGGAGAGGTGGGCAGTCGCAGGAAAATTCCCACCTTTACACTCCATCACATATCACAGTTTCATGAAAACTCCCAATGGGAAGACAAATTTAGGCCACATAGACAGAGGCATAAGCTGCTGTTCAGCACATGGACTTGCATAAATTCAAGTGGTCACAATTTGGGGAATTTAAAGAAAGAAATTGGCAAAGTAGTTCACAGAATCATAGAATGACTGGGGCTGGAAGGGACCTCCAGAGGCCATCTGGTCCAACTGCCCTGCTCAAGCAGGGTCACCTAGAGCCGACAGCCCAGGACCACGTCCAGATGGCTTTTGAGTATCTCCAGTGGCAGAAATATTCAACCCAACTATCTCCAATTGAAATAGTTCCTACCTACTTCAAAGCACCATGAAGTCCTTCATTTCATTACCATTTTCTAGTCTAATGACATTTGCACCAATCAAATACACTTGGCCAAAGTATTCTGGAGTGAATTAAGAAAAAATAAGTAGGAATGAATAAAGCATCTGCATTGCAATTTATGTCTAATCACAGAATAAAACTCAGCTCAGGATCTGAGCTGTTCTGAAGAAGTATTTAGGGTTTTAATCTTGCAACTGAGACAGCCACCAGCAAACGCCAAAAGCATTAATTGATAAAGTCATCTACACAAGTTTGATGTTGTAAGCAATGGGCTCTAAGTTGCAAGCTTTTTATATAAATTTAAATTTTATTCTGATAGTTAGCTCTGCCAATAATTATCAGAAATAGATCATATTTCACAAAAATATCCAACTATTTGGTATCTCTGCCATTCCAGTGCTGCCACTGTAGCAGTCAGGATTGTCTTCCACTCCTTTTCCCTGTTAGGATACCTCTAGGGTACATGTTTTCCTGCTGTTCTCACAATATAGAATTGAATCCCCAAATACATTCCTTTCATCCTTTTCTGTAAGATCAGGGGATAGGGGTCTGAGAATTAGAGTGTGGCTTTTCAGGTAGAGACCAAGAGACTGCCAGAAGCACAACTTCATGACTGTAGCTACTGCAAGAAAGATGTGTCAGCTGAAGCTTCAAGAGCAGACACCCAAGCTGCTAAAGCCAGAAACATGCCTCTTCCATGACATTTGAAAAAGAAAATTCCAATTAGTACTCTCTGATCAAGACAATGGGAACTCAAGGCCTCTGGAGAGCACAGCTGGACTAATGTTACTAGGATATTTACATGATCATCTGTGAAATTTTTTCTTTGATATATTCATTACTAGTATAATAATAAGCCAATGGTTTTCCACACTAGTTGGAAGTTGGAGAATAAGAACTGAGAAAAAACAGAAGTCAGTTCCTACTACTAGAATATTCAAAGAATTAATTTCTACAAAGTGCACCAAGACCCCTTTAATAAGGCTGAAAACCTGAGGGAATGTAGTAGACTTTTTAAAAGGAAGGAACAAAAAGGGAAGAAAAAGAAGGGGCTGGGGTAGGGTAGATGAAAGAATGTCATGCTGCATATGCTTAGACTCCGTTTTAATTGTGGCCAAGGATTTTTTGGTCCTGAGGGGATATGCAAAACATAATTCTTAGCAGAGCACCTTCTACTCACTAACTTTAAGAACAAAAGTCCAGATAATCAATTCACAGGGGCAAGCCAGTGAGAGGCAAAAGCCACATGCATTCACAGAGACAAGTAAATGGCTAAGAGAGTGTACACTCTCCCTCCTCCCACTTACCCCCCCAAAAGACAAACTCCAAGCAAAACATAACCTCAGGAACCAGGTGCAGTGCCGAATTCTGAATCAGACCAGACACTGCGCGAGGAGCTCAGATGCTCAGATGTCTCGGTGGAGAGACCAATATTAAAACCACCTGTTTCATTGTCTGCATTTTTGCTGCTGTATCTGACCAGGACTTTGGAAATCAACATTCACAATATTCACATGAACATAAGATTAGACAGAAAAACAGTTGCTAATAATTAACATTGGAGCTTTTCAG